TGTCCCCAAAACTTAGGCCAATTCATGCAAGAGCCATCAAATTTTGATATCACAAGCTTTGGCAATTTGGCAGATTGTGTTGTGAATTGTTCACATTTCTGAGTTTCCGGTTTTTGTACTGAGGATTGGGCAAGTTCAGCTTGCATTTGCAGCTTTTTCTCATGCAACTTGAGTTCAAATTTCAACTGTTCCTCTTGCGTTACAAACTGCTCGGCCTTATCTGCATCAGCAAGCCATTTTTCGAGTCGTATTGTGGCCTCGTCGGCCGCGTCAAATTTCGCATCAATCTCGTTACTCCATTCGTTTATCACAGTTTGGTCCTCTTTCTCGACAATTTTGATTGCCTCGACAGCGAGTTTGCATCGTGATGCTTCTTTAGCGGTAGTTTGTAACGCTTCGAGATGCCTATTTATAGCTACTCGCTTACCTGACTCGATGATAGATTGCGATCTCTTTACTGCTAAACTTAACTGCGTCAAGCGTGTCTCCAGATCTGTCGCTGCCTTGGTCTTTTCGTCCATGTTCAAAGGATTCACAGTTCGTTTATTTTTACTGGCGGTACAGTTATCCCATTCAGGAGGTGCCACGTGTCGAGAATGTTTCGCCTCCAAAACTACGTTGTCCTCGACAAGTCACTGAGTTCAAATAATAAACTTTAATATAATATATGAATCACACGTTCACAATGAATCACACTTTTCGCTTCGTAGTCACTGTCACACTAACACTATTACCTCGTTTTGATTAAATAACGTCACATAATTTACCCTATAATTAATCCCTATACTCAAATTACTTAATCTGTCAGTTTCCAACAGCAATGCTTCTACTGATTGAAAATCAGTAGATGCAAAAATCAGTAGATGCAAAAAACCGCAATGACGTCCGTTTTAGCAGGTCTATCAGACGTCCGTTTTAGCAGGCCTATCAGACGTCCGTTTTAACAGGCCTAGCAGGCCTATCGAATCATCCGCTTCAGCGCTGCAGGAAAAACACGTTAGCTATAAAAACCAGGGAACGGTATGCTTGATATACAAAAGTCAAAATATCTTCAAAAGAATACGGGCTTGTATTGCTTTGCAACAAAAACTAATTAAGTAGAAAGATCCAGAATTCCATGGAGATTTTGAAGAGTGCATTCATTCTATCAGCTTTGCTGCTGTGTTACAGTGATGCCCACCGCTCAAAGCCAAAGGTACGTACTATATAGCTTCAGTATGTATAGGTAATAGCATGGTTTCCACTTTCGAGTGCAACTTGGATGTAACATGCACGAGTGAGTTTTTCAAAGACCTCAAAATAGGCAACTTTTATTTTATGTAGGGCGGCGCCATGTTTGTTTTGTTTTGAAGCAATCTGTGACCGTTATACTTAGTTTAAATTAAACTAAATTGCTTTAAACTGATTGGTTGATTTAATCATCACAATGTTTTTCTACCAATCAGATCAGTTTGTTACAGATTTTTGCACTATGATTACAGAAAATTGCACTGCTGTTTGAGATTAACTATGCTCTGAAATCGACCAATCACAGTCGAGTAATATCTTTATGTATATTATTTCTTGTTATAAAAGGTATTCATGTAAAATATCAAGCTACATATATATATTAAATTCAGTTTTTGGAGTACAAGATTTAATTTGTTATATAGTTAAACGAAAATTATATTTTACAAATACATGCATAGTCTAAGTTTATTTAAATGTTTTAATATCCGTTTCAACGTTAACTACCATTCACAAACTGTACCACGGAGCATTCACAATATTACCCACCCGACTGTCACATCAATTTCGAACTACCGTTCACGTTTCAAAGAACGAAAAGTAGACGGTAGACAAATTTTGTTTAAAAAAATATTCTGTCACAAACTCAATCTCGTTCCCCAAGCGTACGCATGCTCGCGGCAATTGTTGCAAAATACTAGTAAAATAATTAGTATTTCGCTATTTCTCGTCGAAAATTGGGTACTTTTACTTTTTACACTGAAATCGATTGAAAACAACTACATATTCTGGTGGAAATATGTACGAAAGCTTCGGATTGGTAGGAATACAACTACCTGAAAAATACAAGGAGAATCTCGATCGACGTTCCGAGCGAAGTTGTATACAACTATACATCGGTACTTGACCTTTTATAATTATACTGTCGGTATTCACAATATAATCTCCTCAAGAATGAGAGAATGACTTTTCAAAAGGTTTGCTGCATGTGCCTGTGAAGTATGGACCTATTAGTGTTTCATACGGTATACCATAAATTCTGACAGGAGAGTAAAATTTAAATTTTAAAGCACATCTATATAGACTATGGCAGGGTACCTACACAGGACGAAAAGCGCACCTTTAATATGCTATTAAAGTAGGATTAATAGTGTATTTTATTCGTGTTTAGTCGCACTTAATGCGTTTTATTAAAGAGATTAAAGGTGCGTTTTAACACCTTTAGTTCGTTGCATTAAGTGTATTAACGACCACATTAATACCCAGAGATTAAAGTTCAATGAAGGATACTAAGTGTGCATTTAATTCGGCCGATTAAAGACCGATAAAATGCGGTTAAAGATGTATTTAGTCGCCTTTAATATTGGTAGAATTGTTGATTAAAGACAACTTTAATCATACAAAAATGTGTTGCTTATAGGTTATTAAAGGTAAATTTAATCAGTTGATTAAAGACCGCTTAAAGCGATATAAAGAATGAATTAATCACATTTCATACATTGATTAAACTTTGTGTAAGTGCCATTTTAGTTCTATTTAGTCGCTCTATTAAAGTATTATATTTGCAATAAGTTGCATCGCTTGTGACGTTGGGCTTTTTATTGCGCTTTTTAAATTGAAAATCTCGAATTTGTGTCATACTTTCTGACAATACAGTATTATTCATGGATCATGACTACAAAAACCCGGTCTTGCTTGACTCAAGGTTCATGCTTCGGTAATTATTATAAGAACATGTAAAAATCAGAGTAATCATTTGTAATGATGAATTGCAACATTAACTCAAATATACAACACGCGTTCATCTTTAAAATAAATTTATTATAACATATACATATACTACACCCGTTCATGTATGAATGAAACTAAAATTACATATCGAACTGAAACATTTATAATAAGCCCAGACTAATCCTTTCTCGCATAGCGTTCTCACGTACGATATCAGTTGTTATCCGTTTACAAGGAAATATAGAAAACATTATACGAAAACGGATTTGTGCGGACAAAGACCCAGTATAAAAACGGAACCTAAAATTATCACGTTTTGAGATTGGCTTTGTAAGATAAAAGCGACTAATGTTTGTGACTCGTTCTTTAGAAAATTCTTTTCAGCTGGCAAAAATTGTTGCCAATTTATGTACAATACACTGGTAAATTTCAAGGAGTCTGTATAATTAACTCCAAAATGTTATTCTGTAGTCGTTTTAGACCATTTTGGTTACAAAATA